ATGTGCTTTCTTATCTTCCCCCTTCCTCCCCGCCCATGATTTTGCAGAGGTCCAGGATTCAGGTGTGGCTCTATGAACAGGTGAACATGCGGATAGAAGGCTGTATCATTGTGAGTGTCATGTTATAGGCACTTTGCATCGTTAATTTGTTTTTCCCGTTCACAAGTTCCATTTGCAACTCCCCAAGAAAAGGTAGTACAGTGAAGTAATAACATTCCCCCCCCCAACCCCCCCAGTTTTCCAAGCAGTCGTCTTACTCAGATCCATTTAATCATAGCATCATAGGACTGGAAGGGACCTCGAGAGGTCATCTAGGCCAGCCCCCTGCACTAATGGCAGGACTAAGTATTATCTAGACCATTCCTGTCAGGTGTTTGTCTGTGCCCCTTAGTGAAAGCAACTCCTGCCGTTGAGGCTTGAGACCAGGCGATTTTGTTCACTAACCACTTTTGTTGTTGGTTCTTAGGGTTTTGATGAATACATGAACCTGGTTCTGGATGATGCAGAGGAGATACACTCAAAAACAAAAGCAAGGAAACAGCTGGGTAAGTCTGCATGGTTTAAATGATTTATGGCACCAAGCTGCATATATGAACCTTATGTGCAGCAGCGATATAAAATACAGAGCAAATGAATAGCTTTGACTGAAGGATAGTGAAACCCATTGGGAAGATTCTTAGGTCTGCTATCTGCTGTAGGTTAACTGTGTTGGGATTAGAGAGTTGATGAATGTTCCATTCTGATTAGCTGTGTGCCAGAATCCAGCACTTCTCAAAGAGTGAGTGAGTCCTAAAATGAATCTGAATCTTTAAAAAGGTGGCTTAATAAACAGCAGCTCTCTGCCCTCTCTTGGGTGTCAGGGTGACTGGAGGAGGCCAATCTAAACTCCATACTCCCATATCTATCTCTGTACGGTTGTATTAATTGGAAGTGTAATTTACCCCTTCACGTAATACTGAAGCTAGGGGTGACCCAATGAAATTAATAGGCAGCAGGTTTAAAACAAATGAAAGGAAGTATTTCTTCACACAATGCACAGTCAACCTGTGGAACTCATTGCCAAGGGATGTTGTGAAGGCCCAAAGTACAGCAGGATTCAGAAAATAATTAGGTAAATTCATGGAGGATATGTCCATCAATGGCTAATAGCCGAGATGGTCAGGGACAAAATCCTATTTACTGGGTGTCCCTGAACCTCTGACTGCCAGAAGCTGAGACTGAACAACCGGGGATGGATCACATTTTTAATTGCCCTGTTCTGTTAATTCCCTCTGAAGCCTCTGGCAACAGCCACTGTCGGAAGGCTGGATATTGGTCTCCATGGACCATTGGTTTGACTTAGCATGGCCATTCTTATGTTTTTAATTAATTTAAATACAACAGTCCTAATACCCTCCCCACGCACTCAGTATGTCTACACAACAAATTAAAACCTGTGGCTAGCCCATACAAGCTCCCAACGGCTCGGGCTGCAGGGTTGTTTCATTGCTGTGTAGGCTTCTGGGCCCGAGCTGGAGCCCAGGCTGTAGGACCCTGCAAGGTGGGAAGGTCCCAGGGCTCAAGCTGGAGCCTGAGCCCAGACATCTACACAGCGGTGAAACAGCCCCAAAGCCCTAGCCCTGTGAGCCCAAGGTGGCTTGCATGGGCCAGCCACGGGCGTCTAGTCGCTGTGTAGATATACCACTGTCACCTTGTCCCATCACCCTTCTGAGTCAGTACAGGACACCCTTTTGCTGCTGCCATCCCCACCATGTTCGGATTTGGTATTCACCATTTGCCAAGTACCAAAGATAAACAGTGAATCTGAAAACAGTGGTGTCTTCCTATTCCCTGCCAGGATGGCTTTTATTGCGATACACTCTGGTTTATTTTAAGGAAGCAGAGTACGGGGCTCAAGATACTACTGATACCCTGCAACGCAGCGAATCTCAGATATATATACACTGTGGAGAGAGGATCACCATAGATTTATAGGCTTGTAGCTCTGTGCTGCATGCAGAGGGATAGTCTATGT